GTAGTGGTGCTTAGTGTCCCAAGAGCTGTAGTGGTGCTGGGTAGTGTCCCAAGAGCTGTAGTGGTGCTGGGTAGTGTCCCAAGAGCTGTAGTGGTGCTGGGTAGTGTCCCAAGAGCTGTAGTGGTGCTGGGTAGTGTCCCAAGAGCTGTAGTACTGCTGGGTAGAAGAGGAGAGGAACACGGTGTAAGGGAGCCTGGGGGAGGGAGGGGGGGAGGCGCCTTGCCAGCTCACCAAGAGTGAATCATTAACGCAAGTAATGTCAATAAATTTCCAGTGTCCATGTATCCCTCGACACTATGCGCGTGCGCACGTGAAGCCCCCCCCCTAAAGATAGCTGGAGCACTGGCTTGGCACGGGGTAGGGTCAAGGTGTACCCTGGCCCAAGGTGTACCCTACCCTGTACCCTAGGGTGCTGGGTACCCTGGTACCCAGCACAGTGCTTAATGCTGGGAGATTTGTCGTCGAGCAAAAGTTGTTGTTAATATTAGAGTTACTCATATAGCTTCCGAGCTCTTAAACTGGTACAAAATGCAGACTCGACTGCCATGAGTTAGAGGCTAGAAGAGGCCTGTCCTGGTGCTTCGGAGCTCATTAACTTTTTAATAATTGTAAACAAAGCCGCCAAAGATTGAGAAAAGATTTACAGGTTCGTAAGTGCTTGCGTAACGGCTTCGTGAATCTGGCCCCTTTGCCTCTGTAGGTAATATGAAGATCGGATCTAAAACTTAAACTGACGTGGTTGACATCCCAACACTCACACGTGGAATGGAAGGGAGGTTTCCGTCCGCCCCGGAGCTAGTATATAGTATATATTATAGACACTACTGTATATAGCTAGTATACTGTATAGTATATACTAGCTATATCTACAAATTCACCATTGTATCTCATTTTGTATGTATGTACTTTTACCTGAATGAAAATGATTATTATGTGGTGTATGGAGTGAGACACGGGAGTTATTATACGGGAATATAAGGAAGGTGTGGCTTGGTTTACTTATTTCTCAGAGGGGAAACAACGAAATTGTTAAGAAAGTGCTGGTTCACTGGTTGGGGGGGGGGTAGTTGTTAACAGGTGTTGGAGGAGGGTGGTGGTGGGGGAGACTAATTAACGAGGCCATGTGAAACAGCGTGAACACGTTTAAACAGTCTGGGTAACTAGCTCCAGGCGTCCCATAGTGTGCATGCCTGACAACTTCTGCCTCCAGGTTAGTACACAGCGAGCAGTTAGCATAGTGGTGCCGCCCCGAGGTATGTGGTGTTTGTCACGCCTACCCTGCCACACCTACCCTGCCCTGCCACACCCTGCACTCTGCTGAGGTATAGAGGTTAGAGTACTGGTTATGTCATGTGTGCGGTCACGTGTCCTGTTAAGGTTCTCGAGTCCTGTTAAGGTTCGAGTCCTTCTCAGGGGTGGAGTTTTTTGTGTGATATATATATATATATATATATATATATATATATATATATATATATATATATATATATATATATTAGGGGTACCACCACTGGTTTAATTAAAGGGACCCACATCCTCGAAGAAGAAAATAAATAGTGTTCAGAGAATATATATATATATATATATATATATATATATATATATATGCGAACAAGCCTGAATGGTCCCCAGGACTATATGCGAATGAAAACTCACACCCCAGAAGTGACTCGAACCCATACTCCCAGAAGCAACGCAACTGGTAACTACAGGGCGCCTTAATCCGCTTGACCATCACGGCCGTCAAAAGGAAGTGATAGCCGAGGCTATTTGAGCCACTTCCCCGACGGCAACTCGGATGGTAATCTTGGGCATAGCATTTCACCAAATCACCTCATTCTTTGGGGCACACGTGAGGAACACAAATGCGAACAAGCCTGAATGGTCCCCAGGACTATATGCGAATGAAAACTCACACCCCAGAAGTGACTCGAACCCATACTCCCAGAAGCAACGCAACTGGTAACTACAGGGCGCCTTAATCCGCTTGACCATCACGGCCGTCAAAAGGAAGTGATAGCCGAGGCTATTTGAGCCACTTCCCCGACGGCAACTCGGATGGTAATCTTGGGCATAGCATTTCACCAAATCACCTCATTCTTTGGGGCACACGTGAGGAACACAAATGCGAACAAGCCTGAATGGTCCCCAGGACTATATGCGAATGAAAACTCACACCCCAGAAGTGACTCGAACCCATACTCCCAGAAGCAACGCAACTGGTAACTACAGGGCGCCTTAATCCGCTTGACCATCACGGCCGTCAAAAGGAAGTGATAGCCGAGGCTATTTGAGCCACTTCCCCGACGGCAACTCGGATGGTAATCTTGGGCATAGCATTTCACCAAATCACCTCATTCTTTGGGGCACACGTGAGGAACACAAATGCGAACAAGCCTGAATGGTCCCCAGGACTATATGCGAATGAAAACTCACACCCCAGAAGTGACTCGAACCCATACTCCCAGAAGCAACGCAACTGGTAACTACAGGGCGCCTTAATCCGCTTGACCATCACGGCCGTCAAAAGTTTTCATTCGCATATAGTCCTGGGGACCATTCAGGCTTGTTCGCATTTGTGTTCCTCACGTGTGCCCCAAAGAATGAGGTGATTTGGTGAAATGCTATGCCCAAGATTACCATCCGAGTTGCCGTCGGGGAAGTGGCTCAAATAGCCTCGGCTATCACTTCCTTTTGACGGCCGTGATGGTCAAGCGGATTAAGGCGCCCTGTAGTTACCAGTTGCGTTGCTTCTGGGAGTATGGGTTCGAGTCACTTCTGGGGTGTGAGTTTTCATTCGCATATAGTCCTGGGGACCATTCAGGCTTGTTCGCATTTGTGTTCCTCACGTGTGCCCCAAAGAATGAGGTGATTTGGTGAAATGCTATGCCCAAGATTACCATCCGAGTTGCCGTCGGGGAAGTGGCTCAAATAGCCTCGGCTATCACTTCCTTTTGACGGCCGTGATGGTCAAGCGGATTAAGGCGCCCTGTAGTTACCAGTTGCGTTGCTTCTGGGAGTATGGGTTCGAGTCACTTCTGGGGTGTGAGTTTTCATTCGCATATAGTCCTGGGGACCATTCAGGCTTGTTCGCATTTGTGTTCCTCACGTGTGCCCCAAAGAATGAGGTGATTTGGTGAAATGCTATGCCCAAGATTACCATCCGAGTTGCCGTCGGGGAAGTGGCTCAAATAGCCTCGGCTATCACTTCCTTTTGACGGCCGTGATGGTCAAGCGGATTAAGGCGCCCTGTAGTTACCAGTTGCGTTGCTTCTGGGAGTATGGGTTCGAGTCACTTCTGGGGTGTGAGTTTTTATTCATATATATATATATATATATATATATATATATATATATATATATATAGAAGAAGTATAGAGAAGACCTTGTGGATTCTCACATATATATTGTGTGATATATATATATATATATATATATATATATATATATATATATATATATATATATATATATATATATATATATATATATATATAAGGTTAGGTTAGGTTAGGTAGGTTAGGTAGACGAAAAAACATTAATTCATGAAAACTTGTAGTGGATGCTTAGAGGGGAAGGGAACTATCAGGGGGAAAGTGCCAAGCCATTACGACTATATAGCACTTTGAAGGGATAAATGTTTAGGACGGGATTTGAAAGTAATGGTGCCCAACCACTTGGGACGGCGGGGGATTGAACGCCGACCCGCATGAAGCGAGACTTGCATCTCGTCCACCGAGGGTAATATTATCCTGGTGACACGCTGGCATGGTTCAACGCGACCGGTTTTTGTGTTTGTTTCACACCCGCTACGAGAATAGAAACTGGGTTCAGTTTGTTTTCTCACTTGGGAATATATGTTAAACATGGCTTTTGTAGGGGGGGTTGACCCGGGGATAATAATAGTTCCGTGGGCCCCCACGGGTCTTACTGGCTTGCTGAAGGATGGCCCGGTTATTATTGTTGGGTGTGTATTCACCTAGTTGTGCTTGCGGGGGGTTGAGCTCTGGCTCTTTGGTCCCGCCTCTCAACTGTCAATCAACAGGTGTGTGTGTGTGTGTGTGTGTATTCACCTAGTTGTGCTTGCGGGGGGTTGAGCTCTGGCTCTTTGGTCCCGCCTCTCAACTGTCAATCAACAGGTGTGTGTGTGTATGTATTCACCTAGTTGTGTTTGCAGGGGATGAGCTTTGCTCTTTAGGCCCACCTCTCAACTGTTTGCTAACTACTTTTTTTTTCCCACACCACACACCAGGAAGCAGCCCGTGACAGCTGACTAACTCCCAGGTATCTATTTACTGCTAGGTAACAGGGGCATTCAGAGTGAAAGAAACTTTGCCCATTTGTTTCTGCCTGGTGCGGGAATCGAACCCGGGCCACAGAATTACGAGTCCTGCGCGCTATCCACCAGGCTACCAGGCCCATCAGTGTGTGTACTCGCCTAGTTGTGTGCGTGCGTGTGTGTGGGGGGTAGGGGGGCGGTGGTGTTGGCAAGGTGGTGATGGGATGACGCTGCTGCCTGACCTGGTCCTGTCATCTTCACTCTCTCACCTTTCCACCTCTTATCCTCACTTATACGCACCTCACTCCATTGTTATCTGCACCTCACCTCAGTGTTATCTGCACCTCACCTCATTGTTATCTGCACCTCACCTCATTGTTTCCCGGGTGACTATGGTGTCATTAGGTTACTCGTTGTTGTTATCTTACATTCAGCTACTGGGAACAAAAAGTTGCAGGTAGCACGGTCTATGGTGAGCCCGTAGTGGACTTACCTATCACAGGAGCGGCGCTGTAACTATAGTGAAAGACTACAACTGTAGGTTACACCAACCTGGGTGTATATACATATATGTATATACACCCAGGTATATACATATATATACACCTGGGCCTCCGGTGAGTGTCTGTGCTGGGTGTGTTGCCAGGCGCACGATGCGTTCTTGTTCTCTGTCTGTTGACTTCTGCTTTTCTTATCTCTCTCTCTCTCTCTCTCCCTGCAGCCTCTCCAGTGATGACGTCTTGGAGAAGAGGAGCAGCGGTGAGAGCATCTCCCGAGACACCTCGCAGGTCAAGGTAAGTGCATAAGTTCGAGCCCTCTCCACGGCCCTTGTGGATTTGTTTACAGTAAAGCATTTTTCGTACCTTTAATTTTATAGTTCGGGAAAAAGGTAAGGTTGAATGCCAAACTAAATATTCCTAGGCCTATTGTAGCGCATATTAGGCCTGTGATAGCTGGCATTAGGCTTGGGATTTCTAGGAGAGGTTAGGTCTTTATGTGGCAGGTTTTTTTCAATAATACAAAGTCAACTTTCTGGTGGTCCATCCCTACATGTTGGTACTTTCTGGTGGTCCATCCCTACATGTTGGTACTTTCTGGTGGTCCATCCCTACATGTTGGTACTTTCTGGTGGTCCATCCCTACATGTTGGTACTTTCTGGTGGTCCATCCCTACATGTTGGTACTTTCTGGTGGTCCATCCCTACATATTGGTACTTTCCAATGTGTAGTGAAACCCTTACAAGGTAGGTATATATATATATATATATATATATATATATATATATATATATATATATATATATATATATATATATATATATATATATATATATATATATATAATATACTAACCCGGTGAACTAGTGAACCTGACACTGTAATGGGTACGGTTGATGTCGACCGCAGTGGTGCAGGAAAAGGGTATAAGATTGATAAGAGAGTGATGGTGGTGCGGTAACCATGGGTGTAAGCGGGTATGAGGCAGCCCCCACACCTGCCCTCGGGGCGCCCTAGCCCCCATCCCTCACAACATAGATACCGGGGGACGGCGCAGATTACGGGCTATTCATGCCTGTGCCACCTTGTGGGTGACTTAGTCTTTATCGACGGCCAGAGTACAGCTGCGCGCGCTGTACTCACTTAAGTTATATGCTATTTCATTTGGGTTCGAGCCCCGGGAAGGATTGACTGGGCACTTACCAGTGACTACAAGGGGGGGGGGGAAGTGTGGTGTAGCGCTGTATGCCTTGTTGTATCTTGCGTTTTAATGGAAATTTTCTGACGTTTGAACTCCTTGTCAAATGTGGCCTTTAAGTTGAGGATGGAGGCGGCTTCCTCAACTTGGGTCTATTCTTTTTTAATTGAGTGATTCGGCTGTAAACTGCCTTGTGGGTAATTGTCAAAGGAAAACTAGTAAGGTGAGGTTTACCTTAAGCTATTGGACGGGAAAGCCTGCTAACAGGTGCCTGAAGTGGTTTACTCCTGTATAACCTCCTATGTAATATATATATATATATATATATATATATATATATATATATATAAAATTGTGTGTGTGTTCTTGCCTCGCTCCTATGCCAGGCAAGTCCACTACGGGCTCACCATAGTCCGTGCTACTTGGAACTTGTTCCGAGTAGCTAAATCTATAACAACAACAACAACAACAAGGTGTGTTCTCAGGTGAGTATTGATGTAGTGGACACGACACAGCTGTCATCAGTGATGAGACTCCTAATGTCTGAATCATCAGCAACTATGTGGGCTCAAATTAGCGCCGGCGGGGGAGGGGGGGGGGGGAGGTTAATGGTATTTATAGCCAATGTTTATGTTGGAGTGTGTGTGATTGTCTCTCTGGGATGAATGAATGACGTGTGGTGGAGTGGGCGCCTTGTCAGTAATGTAGTCACTTCGGACCAGCGGGTGTATGTTGTGCCGACATTCCTTAGTAAATATGTATTCTCTGGTGGAAACTTGGTCAGTATGGCCGGGAACTGTTGCGAACCCTTACAACACAAGCCGGTAATGTTGACCTATGTGAGGGGGAATATCTCCTAAGCGTACCTAGTCATCTGGGGGCCAGAAGCAGTTATGAAGTAGCTGCGTAACTGCTTCGTGAATCTGGCCCCTGGGCTGTGTGGGTCATACATCAGCCTGCGGGGTTGTTTGTTATAGATTCAGCTACTCTGAACAAGTTGCAAGTAGCACGGGCTATGGTGAGCCCGTAGTGGACTTACCTGGCACAGGAGCGGTGCTGGCCTGTGGGGTCTAACAGCCTGGTTAAGTAGACCACCAACCAGGAGGCCAGGTAGCGAGGGACACCTGGAAGCCACCTCCAGGTAACCTCAAGGTGAGGGTTGTGTGCTGCTGCTCTTTACATTGGTTTACGTCCCCCGGAAACTAGGGAACAGTGATCATAAAGAAATCAGATTTAGCATAGAATGAAATAGATCTGTAGGAGAAAATTCTGTTAAAGTGCCTGATTTTCGAAAAGCTGATTTCAATAGCCTAAGAAATTTTTTGGGTCAAATAGATTGGAATGTCTTGGGGATGGGTTACGTACACGCACGCACACACGCACGCGAGAGAAAGAACTTTTTCAGTGTCAGAGTAGTTAACAGGTGGAATGCATTAAACTGTGATGTGGTGGAGGCTGACTCCATACACAATTTCAAATGTACATATGACACGAGCCCAGTAGGCTCAGGAATCTGTACATCAATTGACAGGCGGGATCAAAGAGCCAGAGCTCAACCCCCGCCCACAAACACAACTAGGTGAGTACACACGCTGGAGAGAAAGTAAGAGTTAGGCTAGTAAACAGGAGAGACGACCGGCGCTGTGGCAAGGTGGTCTAGTAGGCAAGGGTCAGGGCGGGTGTCAGGGGCCTCTCTCCCTCTCTCTCTCTCCCTCCTCCCCTCTCCCTCTCTCCTCTCCCCCCCCCCCCCCCCCCGTCCTCTCCCCGGCAGCGACATCAAAGCTGAGCCTTGCCAGGCGTGTGGGTTGAGGCAGCCCACCTGACGGAGGCGGCGACGGCGCCCCAGACCCGCTGCCCCACCAACACCACTAGTTTGGTAGGTTACCTTCTTGATTTGTGGATCATTTAGTAAGGGGGAGTCGAGACCTTTGACAACCAGCCGGCCTCTTGTCCCCCATTGAGGCTACCTAGAGATAGTGGCCCTTGGGGAAATTCAGATTAGTTACCTGGTAAGATAATAAACATGGGATCGCTACATTGTTTCAGGCGTAGGTTAGATATATTTACGAGTGGGTTTGGGTGCATGTCATAAGCTGCCTTGTGTGGGCTAATATGAGCTGCCTCTGATGGACCAATAGGAGCTGCCTTGTGTGGGCCAATAGAAGCTGCCTCGTATGGACCAATATGAGCTGCCTCGTATGGACCAATATGAGCTGCCTCGTATGGACCAATAGAAGCTGCCTCGTATGGACCAATATGAGCTGCCTCGTATGGACCAATATGAGCTGCCTCGTATGGACCAATAGGAGCTGCCTCGTATGGACCAATATGAGCTGCCTCGTATGGACCAATATGAGCTGCCTCGTATGGACCAATAGGAGCTGCCTCGTATGGACCAATAGGAGCTGCCTCGTATGGACCAATAGGAGCTGCCTTGTGTGGGCTAATATGAGCTGCCTCTGATGGACCAATAGGAGCTGCCTTGTGTGGGCCAATAGAAGCTGCCTTGTGTGGGCCAATAGAAGCTGCCTTGTGTGTGCCAATATGAGCTGCCTCGTATGGACCAATATGAGCTGCCTCGTATGGACCAATAGGAGCTGCCTCGTATGGACCAATATGAGCTGCCTCGTATGGACCAATAGGAGCTGCCTCGTATGGACCAATAGGAGCTGCCTCGTATGGACCAATATGAGCTGCCTCGTATGGACCAATATGAGCTGCCTCGTATGGACCAATATGAGCTGCCTCGTATGGACCAATAGGAGCTGCCTCGCATGGACCAATAGGAGCTGCCTCGTATGGACCAATAGGCCATGTACAATTATCTTTTATTCTTGTGTTGGTGACAGTGAGAGGACTGGCGGCCCGGTCTCTACCATAACAATGGAAATGAGAAGCAAACACACCAGTTGCATCGTTCACCGAGGCCACTCCCGTCCACACTCCGTCCCCGTCTGCTGACTCCCAAACACCGCCACCATATTCTAAATTGCTTTACAAGAGTGAATAAATCTCTCGAGTTGAGTGACTTGAAGAATGAACACAGATCAATATGGTCCGGATTTAATGAAAGTGACCGAAAACTTGGAGGAAATGTTTAGGCGAGTGAGGTTGGGGGCAAATTGTGACCTTTAGTTAGTGATTACCTGTAGTGTAGGTGTGTGTGTGTGTGTGTGTGGGGCTAGCTGGCCGGCGGCCTCTCACTCACCTCCTGCTGGAGACCTGTGGGGACGCTCCTGTCCCCCACCGCTGCTCCAAGCTGTTCCTTCATCTTGTACATCTGTGTTCATCAGCACACCCACGCTTCTCGACTTGTGTTACCTGGAATATACCTACAGTGGGTTCTGGGAGTGCCTCTACTCCCCAAGCCCGGCTTGGGGGCCCAGGCTTCATGTGGGATAACTTGGTTCAGCAGGCTGTTGCATCTGGCTGAATCCGACACTTCCAGCGGGAACTTGAATTGAAATTGAAGAGGAAGCCACCCAGATATGAACGTAAAGGCAGACAAGTGGAGGCGAAATACCACAAGGTAGGTGCTACAGCTTCGGCTAGGTCAGGTCTCAGGCTATCTGGAGAGATTACGTGTCAGTCGTGCCCACGTACACCTCTCAGCCAGCTGGCTCTCAACTGGTTCAGTGGGCCAGCTGGTTGTTATTGTTGGAGTGTGGTAAGGTATACATCACCAGCTCAGTCTTCACAAAGCGACAACTTGGAAGTGACTTTCCCAAACCCGAAGCGTACTTGCCCATCCAGTTTTCATTAGTTCGAGGAAGCTTCATTGTTGTGGTGCTTTTCATGTTATCTTCTTGAGGTTATCTTGAAATGATTTCGTGGCTTGTGCATTAAATGTAAGGACAGTTTGGTGAGACTGACATGGCAGATAACACAGGTGTGACCTCAGGGGTCACGTGACGCAACTCCGCCTCTGTGATGACCCGGAGTGACTGTGCCAGGCTTCCCATTTCCAGAATTTTCCCTTCGACTGTGCCTCTTCATCGTCCGTACTGCCCCTTGAGCCCCGCGCGGCCACCAGTGGTGTTCGGGGTGAGCACGTGACCTGCGTTGTGTTCACAGGTCACGTGCTCTCCTCCACCGTGG